TGGAGGAATATTAGTGGGAAATGTGTAAGGTAATGGAGGGAAATTAAATGGAAATATACCAGGAAATGTCACAGAAATGAATGGAAGTTAAAGAGAAATGTGCAAGGAAATGAAGGGAAATTAAAGGGAAAACTTCTACGATGCTGTATACTACGTCATTCTTCATGAGTTATTTGGAGATGTTAAAATATGTTGGGCCGGTTGAGTGCTCGTAGGCGCAGGAGCGCCCCTTTCATGGGGCAACCTATATTAGCTTGTTTGTCGAATCGGTTGTCCTCCTCGTAGACGCAGGAGTGTCCTTTTATGCGACAATTTACCTTAGCCTGTTCATCTGTTCTGTTGTCATCTCGAAGTTGCTGCGAATCTTCGACCATATAGTCTAGACCATTGTATGGCCGAAGTATGCACGAGATATACATAAGATTCGCGTATGTCGTAACTGAATGTTTCTCATATATATAATGTACAAACACAAAGAAAAATATAATACGCACATTATTCATAATACTACTAGAAGGTTTTCAACAATGAGAAAGACGTGTTTGACACATCACTGTCACTCTAACGAGTGTAAGTGACTGTAATTGTACTTACCCGAAAAGTTCAAGCTTCTCAAGTACGCCTCAATGCGTGAAATTCGATTTTCTTAGTTTCTTGGAAGACAGAAATAAAGCCAACTATTTTGACTTTAAAACGAGATATAAAGAAACGAACGTTTGAACATGAAGCATCGAAACAGCGCAAGCGTATTGAAAATGCTCGCGCAATAAAAAAAATCGTTCGTGGTAGATATTTTATTTCCAATTTAGGAACTGAAATGCCCATATAATAAAAAATATTTTGTATCGTATAATAATAATAATTATTATTAAATTGGGAAACGAGATGTTACGCTAAAAAGTCACTTGCTACGTATATAAAAAAATCAAGAGAAAACTCGCAAAAGAAAAAAACGAACATAGACTTTTTTCTGATTTTGTTTGAATATTAATCGTTCACTAATTTTCTCTCTATCTCACTCGCTGCGTTCTCATTCATACACATTTCATTATACAGCTTTCACTCTGTCTCACGCTACAATTTGAGATACAAAACAATCACGGTAACAAAACAAAACTGAAATTACATAAAAAAATCTTCCGGTATGGAATTTTGCACTTTCGTTTTTTCTTTTTTCTTTTTTTTAATCGTTTAAACTTTCATTCTCTACTATCGTCCTTACTCTCCCTCGCTAATCGATAAAGGGCTCGTTAAAAGCACATATAAACGAAGGTCGTTATCGTTCGATTTTTTTCAAAGTCACTATCTAAGCAGTTTTATGGCACGTATTCTCGTACAAGCCCCTTCTATTCTTTTTCGGCCCTTTCGTAATAAAAGAAAAAATAAACCCTTGTGCCGTTTACTCGATCCACGTTTCTTTTTCACTTATCTCAGCCGATGTTGAAACGAATTATTATCATAATCGCAACAGCAACATATATCTCGTCTTCTATATACAACGCACTCGTCGAAATCAAAAGTCTTTTTACCTTCGATTACGGTTCGTCGGACTGGAACGCGAACATCTATTTCAACACATTCGAAATCGACGAATCAGCCTATCCCACTTCAAAATATCGACTACTGGGAATAGTTTCGTAATAATATTTAATGGCATCGTCTCTCGAATGTGTTAAAATCGTTGAATTCCTTCGCGCTGTCGACAGTCTCCTGTTGAACAACCGATATATCGTTTCCACGAGAATTATGAACAAAATATACAAAACGTGTTTCGCCGGAAATACTTTGCAAACACAGCACCGTTCGAATAAGAGAGGACACCCCCCGCGAAAAGAAAATACTAGACGAGAAGTATTCGTTGTACAAAAATAATAATAATACATATGATTCGAATTGAATCGAAAAAAAAAAAAAAAAAAAGATTTCTGATTCTAAACGCGTCGGGCGTCACCGGACGATCTCTCCGGAAAATAAAACCACGTACGTGAGTCGCGACCAGTAAGGGGCAAAATACTTAATCTAGATAAAAATGTCAAATAACGAATAAAAGATAAACGCACGGACTCTATTCACCAGTTAAATAAAAATTGAAATTTCTGTGGCAGAATCGAGTATCTCCCACAATTTAATCGTACAGTATAATAAATAGCCATTGAAATTTATTCTCAATGTTTATTTCAACGAAGTTATCCAGAGAAACTTTTACTCGTTCGATATCTATATATATTTCATATAATACAACTAGAGAATGAAATAAATAGTTCCATTTCGTAATTCAATGAAATACAGGATGCCTAAAAAATGTTGGAGGTCCTTGAAAGGGGTGGTTCGTGGGGTGATTTGAAACATTATTTTCGCTAAGGAAAAAGTTGTTTCAAATCATCCCCCGAACCACTCCTTTCAAGGACCTCCAACATTTTTCGTACATCCTGTATATAAACTTCGTTTTACAATTCGTATCGTGATTTTTTTTATCGAACAAATAACAGATCGAGCGTTATCTTTTAAGTCCAATGGTTGTTCGGTGCAAAATAATAATCGAACGATACCTTTCGTGTTTAATACGACCGAAGAACGAAAGAATTTTTAATAAAACGATTGGAAAGACATCGTTCGATGATCAATATGCATTCACAATTTTTATCTAGATAATAAATTTACCCATCTCTGCCTGCGTGCAGCACGAACAACTTATTCTTGAAAGACATCGATATAGAAATCTTGATTTTTGCTATGAACGGTCAGGCGAAGACCTTTATACACTCTTGTACGTACACGTCTTAGGGTTACGAATGCTTTAACGTTATCTGATATTTTATTTTTGTTATTTTTTTTTTTTAAGCTTTCTTTATCAGAGAAGTATCCTAAAACGAACAAATTCTATCGATACGTCTACGTTTAACATGGATATACCGTCGTCGTTTTTTTTGTTTTCCTTCTCTCCATTCCAAATTGTCGGTGGCCCGCGATGTTCGGTCGCTTCCGGCAGCGATCACGCGCGCATGTCTACATATCAGTCGATCATGGTGGTGCTCTCGTTAAACGAAAGTATATGTATGTATATATATATATATTATATTATATATATATATAAAAAAGAAAGGCTCGTATTTTCTCTCTTCCTCTCTCTCTCTCTCACGCACACACACAAACACACGCGCGCGCACGCACGCATACTCATTTTTTTCTCACCGTTATCGATATTACCGTATAAATATATGTTTAAATATATTTATATGCATATATATATATATATATATATATATATATATATATATATATATATATTCATATACATATATATTCATATACATACACATATCGACGAAAATGAAAACGTGCTTGGCAGCATTTTCTTTTTTTTTCTTGTCTAAATGTACAAAAGACTTCTTCTAAAAAAGTATTCTGCAAAAAATATTGCGTTGCACCCTAGCGAAGAATATATTTATACAGCGATACGACTATCGTTGGGGCCACACAAAAGTCAGACAACCTGTACACACTTGCTAAACCTTAACACGTTTTTTTTTTCTTACGTAAAATGTTGAAAGATACAATGCATTGAGGACTTTTTATCTAGCTTAATGGATACGTGATTATTATATACATTATATACATTCGTCTCGTTGCTAATAACACCGCGTTGCGTGCATTTATTTCTCCTTTAGAGCTGACTACGGATCGGTGTATGTGTGTATGTGTGTGTGTATAGGAGTACGGTGATAGCGCGCGCGTATGTGTATATCGTATGTACGTGTGTCAAGAGAGATACAATGAAAATTTGTCTAAACTTACAGATATAGGGTTCTTGCGATCGATATACGCTACGGTAAGATTTATCGTTATACAATAAACAATTATACGTTCTGACGATCCGTCGGCTAAAAATCTCGCATATACACATATACATATATATTTATTTATTTATTTATTTATTTATTATATTTATTTATTTAGTTATCACATCGCACGTTCGAAATGAAGGAATCCTGACCCTACTACGCGACAGAGAATTGAATCGAATCTTTTGGAGAATTTATAAAAAAAAAAAAAAAAAAATTACAAATCAGAAAAGAAATTATAGTCCGACCTGGTAGGCGCACGAGCAAAGATCGCGATAGAATTGAACGTGGAAAAGTGGTATTTTCGTATGAAAAGAGTCAAACTGCATTCAATGAGTACAGTATTTTTTTTCTCCCTTTCTGATCTTTATCACAGTGCTTTAGTACGCTCTTTTTTTTTCTCTCTCTCTCTCTCTAAATATCGAATACACTCTGGAAATATATGTGTAAAAAAAAAAAGAAGAAGAATTAAAACAAACCGAATCATTGTTTCTCTTCGACCTACAACAAAGTTGTTTGTCTAGTTGTTATTGTTACATATAAAAAATTACTACCTAATTTATTGCATAATATATGCATGTACACACCTATATTCCACTGTAAATTATTCGTTCGCGCATTCGAACTTTCACAGTCTCCGCTTGCGTTCTATTGTTTAAACTGTACTCTTTCGTTTCTAATCAGGATGTCCGGTGATTCATGATAAAATCGTATACGGATGATCCATCGTCCAGCTATCTCTTTGAGGCACGCGATTTGAAAGAGAAAGCAAATTCAAGTCTTACTTATTTAACGTTTACCATTAGATCATAGCATTGCCAACTAAACGAAGAACTTTAAACAAAATATTGAAGTCAAGCAACAAGTAGAACAATTTCTAATCCATCTTACCTCAAAGAGATATAGTCAAAAACTTATTAGCATAAAATGAAAAAAACGTAGTAAAAAGAAGTTCTCGTACTTGAAAATACAAACGATATTTTTGTAAATACATCATTTTCGTAGTAGTGCTATTTTTCATATACGAAAACGCGTCGATTGCCAAATTCCATTTTCCACTAATGTTTCATTCGAAGGATCCACTCCCAATCGATTGTGTCACAAATCACCGGACAACCTGCATCGCGTACGGATCGAACATTACGGGAGAAGACTGTCCAAAAGACAACGTTCAAACGATGATCGAAAGTCCGGTCTCTCATTTTGTTTTTTTTTTCACTCAAAAAAAAATTGTCCTTATTGACACGCACGAGGAAGTCCTCCTTGAATGATTCTTGAATCGAAAATAGATTATTCGTGGCGAGGAAAATCCGACGGATCTTTGTCTTTAGAAAACGAAACCGACATTATTCGCTACTACGTCGGAAACCCTACATATGAGATCCCATTTTCTACTTAGACGTCGGGGCAGTCGGCTGATTCTGCCCCGCCATCCCCAGTCTTGGTTGCGAGGAAGCAAGTAATTCCTTGTAGTATGCGCTGAATTCCGGCGGTAGAAACGACGTGGTGGCCGTGGGCGGAATCGGCGGCGGGGTGAATAAACCGTTGTAGAACGCGGAATAATACATCGGGTCCAAAATCGGTAGGAACTTGCCGGGCGTGTTTGTTGGCAGTTGCGGAAGGTAGGCTGGATTGCTTTGAGGTACCGTGGGCACGTAACCTGAAGGTATGCTTGGAACGCTGTGTCGCCTTCCAGCCTCGGTTTGCCTCGACTCCTGCTGATGCTGCTGCTGCTGCTGCTGGTGGTGCTGGTGCTGTTGCGTCATTAACGACTTGTCGCCCTCGCTGATTCGACGTTGCTGATGTTGCTCCTTACCGCTGCTCTCCACGTTTTTTCTCCTGTCTATGCTTATCTGTTGCTGCATGGCTGTTTCCATTCTAGGATAGGAATTTCCGCTATTTAGATGATTTAGATTAGGTACGTTCGGTATAACAGGATGACTAATTGGCTTTCTGGGTGTGTACGGTGAAACTGGCTCGCTCCTCGTTGTCGTGTACCTTCCGTTCACCTGTTGTCTTCTCTGCGCAGGCATCGCGTTACTTCTATTAGGTGGACTCGGTACGCGAACCGTCGTCGGCGTACTCGTGTGATTGTTTTTTTGTTTAGGGTTCACGATGGTGATTTCTAGATTATTCGAAGCCATGGTTCGACTGTCCAATACGTTCTGGTAACCAGGAAAGGTACCACGTTTCGAACAGTCCGTTGGTTTCTCTTTAGCCGTGGACGAGTTCCTCATCTCCAAGTTCAATGGATTAGGCCTCGGCACTACAGGTACTTTCACTATTTCTAGGCTCGGTCGCGGGAATACCGGTTTATCGCCATACTTTTGCGTCAAATCGAGAACCCCTCCGTGCGCTATTGAGTCGTTATTATTGTTCATGTGTTGCTGATGCGGTAAACGGTGAAACGAGGAACGATACTTCGGAGGACTGAGGATATCCTTCGGATCTCCGTACACCATCTTTTCGTTGTGCGCGAACATCGACCTCGATTGTGTCACCTTTGGCGGGAATATCCTTCCGTTGGGAACGCTGGGTGGTACGAAACGATGATTAGCCTGGTGATGCATCGCTGAAGACGCAGGCGGCGGTACGTTCGCGTTCGCGTACAATTGCAACAACGCGGCATTATTGGAGGTGCCAAGATTTATCACGCGACTATTTACCACGTTATTATTGTTCACCGTGGTATTGTTATTATTGTTGTTATGATGAGCGGGTGGTTGTTTGTTCGGTACTTGCAACCGCGCTTGATGATGGGGATGCTGATGTTCTTGCGGCGACGACAACATATGCCCTATGTCCGGTGTCACAGTGACGGAAATCAGTTTCGGAATGGAGTTGGGTGTGACTGGAAGAGGGTAAGATATTGGCGATTTCTCCTCGGATCTCATCGTTGCTGGCGCCGGAGGATTGCTTTGAATCACGCTCGGTCGTGTGTCCAGGTCAACGGCAGTGACTTCGAGACCACCTTCGCGTAAGATTTCGAGTTTACGTTTCTTAAAGCTGGGAATGATTATTTTGTCCCTACTCGTGTCGCTCTCCGATTCCAGGTCTATGACTTCCGGCGACCTCGGAGGCGCTATCGCCTTTTCAGCGAAAATGGATTTCTCACCGAACAAAGGGATGTTCTCCTTACCCTGTGCCAGCAGGGTGGTCTGTTTGGAATCTAGTTTAATTTCCTTCATGTCTTTCTCCGGCGGCGGAGTTAACGTTACGACTGTAGTAGCGTTCGTTGCTACCGTAGTCACCGGCAGACCCGGCAGATCCGGCGGCGAACACGACGGTGGGACTTGCTGCGATATCAGAGGACTGTTCAGTTGTCTCTCCAATACGCTTTGACTTCCGGTACCGTTCGTGGGCGTTGTGGAGGGTGTACTACTCGGTGTTGAAACCGACGTATTAGAAGAAGGTGGTGGACTTGGCAGTTGATTGGCTTGCTGGCTGGGCGATGGCGTACTATTGGCAATCATAGTGTTCAACGACTTCAGGCGTTCTGGCTTCACCCTTACGCTACGTAAGGACGACGTTTTGCCTGTCTCCGTTTTGGGTTTCTCGCTCGAAAGGAACGGCTGCGAAAATAAAGAACACCATTGAATAACGAGTCGGTAATCGATATAACCATAGTAACGAGGGGGTTAAATTGTTTGGAAGACACTCACAGTAGTTGCAATTGGTTGAAGGGGAGGTGTCGTAGCTGTAAGATTAGTTTCTACGGGTGGAGGTATTTCCGATGAATAAAGGTCGTTGGTTTCTTGTTTGACGTCTTCAGACTCTTCGGATACGCTACTAGTCTTGGTACGCCTTCCAAGCGTCAGTCTCACTTTTGCTTCTTCGCCCTTTTGGTACCTCTCGTACGGTAACAGCAACCTGTTAACATAGAAGTAAAATCAGTAAATCGAAACTGGTCTTGACGGATAAGATATAGGTCTCCTTAGAGCACGTCACCTTTCGTAATGTCGACGAGTGATAGTCGCAGCACTGGTGTTCCCCGTATTACCACCTATGTCGTCGTAGATGGTCTTCCAAAGGCGACCAGCGCTGACGGAGTCGTAGCCACCGAGCATCTGAACTTTTGTATAAAACAGGAAGAGATCGACTGCAAATAAAACAACACTCGTCATTCCAGTGTATCTTATCTTACCGATGAGGTTCTATCTGAACGTTACTTGTCAAAAGGAAACACTGCTGTATATCAGCTTCGAACAGTACCAATCACTGTTTCAATTTAATTGACAACGAACCAACGTTTCTAAAACTGCCAAGGAGAAGTCGTATCGGCGGGGTTGTCAATTTTTGATCAACTACTTTTTTAGTGTATCTAGAACGGAAATAGACGGTGTGTTCCACATTTGGGTTCAGCAAGGTGTATTGTTTCAAATATTTACTCTTGCTCACAGCCGTCTTAACACTATTATTAGTAGCAAATCAGTGGACTGGGTCTCTTATTACATTTATTTCCTTTTAATATCGCAGACTAAATAAGATAAGAAATCCAAGTAATCCAACTAATGCTGTCAGAGCTCGCGTTAATTTCTACAAGTCTATGTATTTGTGCTACAAATGTGTTCAGCGTTGCATAGATTGACACGAGGCCCCTTAGTTTATAGGATCCAGCGTGCCCATACGTTAAGACGGCGCTACTCTAGCTCTTCCAGATCCAACGAGAAAGAAGTTGATCGAATTGACGACCCTGCTCTGCAGCCGACTTCTCCTTGTCAGCGTGTTGCCTAAAAAGCATCTAAACATTGTCGCCAATCGTTAAAAAAAAAAAAGCACAGATACTGACTCTGCCTGTAGCCCAGCAGTGGCATCTTTCCGACAGGCGTACCCCTCGAGTTCATGAAACTCTGCACGTCCGTGAGGAACTTCTTTTCCTCGGCGCTGGTGTTCCTCTCGCTACGCCGTACCACCGACGACGGTGGTCTGCCGACGTTGGACACCACCAGGCTCGTGGTATTAGGCGGCACGCTCTTCGACGTGGACGCGACGGACGCCTCGCTTTCATTGCTGGACTCTCCGGGCGACGCGCTACGCTTTTTACGCTTTCTCCTCGGCCGTCCCTTCAATTTTGGTGCTGAAAATTAAAACAGAACATTCATTAATGCATTCTACTTTACTATTAAATTATTATCCCTTAACAGTCAACATGGGGTCTTTTGTGCTTTTCTAAAATTTTTTTTGTATCTCTGAATGCAGTCCATATGGTAAGTGCGGAACTCTTCCTAAAAAAATGTTGAAACAATGTCTAGTTAATTTATTTGAATACAGTGTTGCGCGCTAACCTCAAATTCTTAATGCCCGTCTTTTCGCAAACGTGACGATGCGATTGCTAATCAGTAGAATTTCTATAAATGTATTTTCATCGAACAAAAGAGCGAATTAATGCACAAGGTTGTATGAATTATAATTGTTCGAACCGGAATGCACACTAAATAACACTTCAGCCATTACCGAACTCTTCGATTAATTGAGAAACGTAACGGCAGTTGGCAACTAATAATTCATATTAACGACCGTTGGCTGTAGCGAGCACAATGCAACCAGTAACGCAATGTAACCGATACATTTAACTCTGGCGAAAAAATGGAAGTCGTCAGACTGCAGATTTTATGCATTTCACGACGTATATAAATATGAAAAATATATCGAACGTTTGTAGAATGTACACATGAAACATGATTATTTTATGAATTAATTAACGTTTTATCGATTGGTAGCGATTGGACATTCAATTCAATAATATTTTTTCTTTTTACAATATTAATATTATTCAATTTTAGATGTATTTATTAGAATCGTTTTTCGATTAATATTTATGTTATATATTTCATAATTCATGTAACGATGCAAGCATTAAGTGTTATTTTAATAATAGATAATAAAGTACTGGGTGTCTTGGCAAAAAAGACGATTACGAAACTACCGGTAGGTAAAGTGTTAAAACGATATGCAAAATTGCCAATCGCAACAATTTCATACTGCCACTGCTATTATAGCATCGTCCCTACGAAGACTTATAAAATTTGTCACAAATTCCTTATCGATTATGAAACAATGCGTAGGTTAACGTCAGTCACTTTTTCTTAACTAACCTATCGGAACACCAGAAATGGCCGTTTTATTTCAATAATTTAAACAAAGATAACCCTTCGCTTCTTTCGCGAAAAGTTCAATTTAACCTAATCTAACCTAATTTAGTTTATTTAAAGGTAATTAGTATCGAACGAATAACGAATCGAGATTCGTTCGACTTCTCTTCCATACGCTATTCGTATTTTTTACCTAAACAAGAATCGCGTCGATCTTTGACTGCACCACGTGCGCGAATCGATTTTTCCCAATTACTCGTCGATGTCCACTAACTGTTTTGTCCCAACCAGTTTACACAAGGAAAGAATTTTCATCGTTATGCTCACCTATCACTTTGTAATACACAATTTTATTCTCTTTAATTTTCATCACAATCATGCTGTCCGTCGCGAACGTACAAAAAAAAAAACTTGAAGTATGAACACGTTTTAATTGCGACGCAGAACCTGACAACGCTTTTACTGGACGTCTTAATTCGGATAACGATCACCTCTGATAATACAATGGAACGATACGTCGACGATCGAGTAACGTTGCGAGTTCGAAAAACGCGTTTGTTAAAATTTCGTGATGTTCGCTCGTGCTGGCTGTACTTGGGTATGTTTCTTCTGTTTCCTAACGATTGTCGTCTGCTGTGATCGCGCGCGCAAATGTCTCCGTCGGTAAATGATTCCCTAAATCTCAGTGCTGTCCAATCTTTTTTAGCGTCACGAGTAAAATTACCAACCGTCTATTAGAAAGAACAATCCCTTTCTCGACACTTTTCTTACCCTTTGTTGGTTTCGCATATGGTATTACAGTGCACTTACCTAAAGAAACTAAAAAATAGGCACTTCAATAAAGAAACTACACTAAATGAATTATACCGAGCCATTTGCTATCTGGTCTACCGTAAATGTCGCGACAAGATGTACGCAATAATAATATATTTTCAGACGAGGCTCTTGTTCGGATATTTTTCGGTTTATTTTATTCGAATAGCCTGCGCATGCGCGCGAAGCGTTGTTTAATTATTAAATGGAACACGACAAGCTTTCGAGCGACAGCTTGACACGTTTTGCAACTAACCGAATTATAATGCTAAACTTCGTTGAAACGCGTTTCGGTGTATTTGGAGGTGGGCACAGAGTACACAATTCGCTAACTTTGAATTCATTCAAGCTGATTGCCCTGACAAGTGAATACAAACGAGAGATATTATTTTAAGATTGAATATCTTTTTATTTTCGAACAGCCGTAATTCATGTCACGTGATATGGTGAAAAATGCTGCGAGGCAATGAAATGGGTGGGTAGTAACAGAATAAATATGTCTCGTTACACAGCTTGAAAAGTGGAGGGGAAATGCGATGAAGGTAGAGAATTGGGTCTTGGTGCATCTTACAATCTAACATGGCCTAACCCAGGCTCATTCGTTAGATTAACAATAAGTCTAAGTTAAGTCTGCTAAATTTGGACTTGCCTATAGCTCTACTACTAATCTGCATGCATTAGGTTGTCCCGAAAGTTTCTTTCGTTTTATTAATAAGTAATACATACACAATATTTTATGTCTAATGTTACATTATTGAATTGCGTACGATTCATTTTGCTTCATTACTGTTGCAACATTAACATCTAAGAAATTAGATTGTCTATTTATATAAACACTGCCACAGGAAATAATTGAATGCAACTCGCGAAAGAAACTTTTGGGACGACCTAATAACAAGAACAACTCAGTCGGTAAGCTTACCTAGATGATTGCAGAGGAGTTCGTGAGTTTCGAGGTCAGGGTAGTCGAAGGTGTCCCTGCAGAAGAGTACCCTGGTACCCGGTGTGGCGGTGAACCCACCTAGTGCGGCTGCTATGGACGAGCAAAGCCAGGACGGTTCGGCACCCTCGAGCCTACGTAGAAGGGCCCGATATCGACAGTACCTCGGGTAAGAGAGAACGACTACTTTCGTCTGGGTGACGCATTCCGTCTTCCTCACGTTGACGTTGCTCTCGTACTCCTTTTGTTGCTTGTCGACGTCGGAAAAATCGATGCCAGGGTCGGTGAGCACCTGCGGTTGTGGTATCTCGTATCTCAACGGACTGCTCTCCGGGGATGACGTAGGGGTTGGTGGGTAAGATACCTCCCGACCCCACGACCATTCTAACGCGGGCGATAACCACGTGATGAGATCATTGACGCGGACCACCACTTTCTCCGATATCGTCAGCACCTCGTCCTGTAACCAAACAAGTATTCCTTATCAGTATAAATAAAATTGTCCCATTCTTTATGCGTTATTCTATCGAGAAACGTATACATCGTTTCGTTAACGATCTTCTTTACCTCTGGTCGATTCCTTGTAGATATCTATTTTACCTGCAAAGAGGAAACTACTATGTCGACCGAGCTCAGGCTCGTTGCTGATTCGACCATCCATCGACAGATGGCGGCACGGTGAGGCCTCCCGGGTAACCTGACCCCGTCCCCCATCACATAGGTACTTACTTATCGCGAGCGAAGCTAAAACACCTATGTGCTCGTTATGTATACACATAATCCAGCCAACGTAACCCGTGGTTTATGTTGTACCTCGAGTGCATCGTTATCTACTCTGCCTCGACGATAATTTAATTGTCCGTTGATGCCAGCGGCGACGTCATTTCCACAAACTTTGACCTAACTCTTGGGACCTGCTGATTTGTGGGATTTAATTCAACTGTGAGACTTTGCTTGTCGCGGGAGCTTTTCGATTGGGGAAGCAGAGAGGAAATCCAGCGGAAAATAATCACTGAATGAGTTGAACTAATCGATCTATGGATCGGTCTTGTTACTATAGCGAGTAAACTACACTCCTAAATAACAGGATACGTGTACTGTGTCTATTTTGAGTTTACACAAAAATACACTTTGTATATGTTTTGAATTAATATACTGTAACGTATTGTTATACTTTAGCGTACACTTTAAGGATAACGATAACGTACATTTTAATTAATATTGAATTAATAGTACGTGTACTCGGTTGCTCTTCGAATAAATTTATAACCCATGACGAAATAAGCTTTGAGCCAAGCGAAACAGATTGTAGCTGCAAGGAGCCGAACGTTTCATTGAAAGCGTTCCACGGAATCGACGGTATCCCGTATCGGACATGATGTTTCGATATTTACACGGCTGGGCGATTACGTTCAAAGTAACGAATGGGCAAATCGATCAATTTGCGTTAACAACTGTTTTCAGTTGGACAGGCGCAAAGGGTCGAAAACAGAGCTGCTATCAAAGTAACCGGTCAATCAAATAGTTGTATTCCTGTTATTTAAACGATTCGTTACCCGACAGGCCGAACATGGCGTTTACTCGCATACAACGCAACACGTTCTGTTTAGTTTGGGAATCACTGCTGGCTGAAGTTATACTTTCATCTTTTAGCTCCGCGCTCATCCGTGCCCCCTTCGCAACCCCTTCCTTTGCCGTCTTTTCTTGTCTCTTCGCATCCCCTATTCCTCTTCTTCTGTCTACTCTTTTACCTTCCAGCGTTGCTTTACCTTGGTCGCATCACACTCGCCCACTTATCTCCTCTTCTGTTCACTCTTCCTCTACTATACTCTTTCATGCACCATCTACTCTCTAGCTTGCTCGCCTTGTATCACGGCGATGGGACTAATTCGATGATCGTTCGGGAAACGTTTGACGAGAATCGGCCACGATAACCTGTCCATCAGGGAGAAATTCAAAGATAACGTGCTAGGAAACTTCACGCCTCTGTATACAGTTACTGTAGAAAGCCTTTCGACGTTGACAAATAATTTCATTTTGGAAATAATTTTGGAGAAATGGGGTGTTTTATTTAGAGTCTCGATTTTTAAGCTTTATATGTATTCTGAAGGGGCAGGAAGGAAGATTTGGCGGGGATGTTCGTGGAACTTGTCTCAGCGCCCCTGGCGGCAGGCAACCGGCCCAACGCTCCTGGCGGCAGACAACCGTTCCAGTGCCCCTGGCGGCAGGCAACCGGCCCAACGCTCCTGGCGGCAGGCAACCGTTCCAGTGCCCCTGGCGGCAGGCAACCTTCTCAGTGCCCCTGGCGGCAGGCAACCGTTCGATTGACTAAGCGTAACGGGATCATTGCCGTGATTGCACCGGACTCAAAAAAAGAGGCATAAGGTCACCTAGTCGCGAAGTATTACAATGTAAATAGTCTCCATTACGCTGTATTAAGTTTTATTAGGCGTGTATCAGGATGATCAGGTGTCTCTGAGCAGCATTAAAAGAACATAAGCATCGGGTATCTCGCGCAACGCCAATCTATCGCACCATCCGGAACCTGTTGTTACGGGTCGACCGGGTAAATTGTGGCAACTTCGTAATCACGTTAGACTCGCCGGTGAAACTGATGGCGGAAGTTGAACTTCGCGACACGATTCGATTTAAATATTTGAACGCGTCCTTAAAACTTCGCGCGCAGAAGTTCCTCTAAATTCGTAATCTCTCGGTTTCCGATCGGAATGGTTGAGCCACTTGACCGATTGCGAAGTTTTAGAAAGTGAGTGACACCGACAACGAGAAAACGCGGTGGACCGTTTTCCGTACCGCGTCGCAGAAAATTCTCCGGCGATAGTTCAATATTATCACTGATCGTAATAATCCGATAATAATCCCTCCTCTGTGAAAGGTAATTCGGAAACCATTTCAAATATTAATAGGCTCATATTAATAATTATATTAATCAATTACAAGAAGTGAAATATCCAAATATCAATTCCTAATTACTTAAACTTGAAACATCCCAATATCCTACACAAAGTGGTTGCTTCGACTATATGTATAACCTTTAAACTGACATTAAAAGCAACCGAAGAGATCCTGACCACTCTTCACGTTTGGCGAGTCGAATATCGAATAACGCGATCACAATGGAAGACTCGAGGACACCGAGTCATTTTACGCGTCGAAAATTTGGCCCCCACTTCCGTCGTCTAGCCGTGCATTCGGAAGATGAGACAAACTCTCCATGCGCCCGGGCATTCCCCTTGACTGCACGTATCCGAGATGTGTATCTACAAGGGGGTGTGATGGGTGAGGGAGGATAGAGGGATTAAAGGGACTGCGGTGGTGTGGGTAGAAAGAGAAGAACAGAGGGAAGCCAGGAGGTGCACGTGTGTAAGGGCAAGAATGTGGCAGAAGGTAGCGGGCGATGTTGGCACGGACACCAGCGCAGATCTAACCCCAAACTCGCTACGTGGACAGTATGCACGGAATCACGTGGAAATGTATTCCGACGTTGCTATGGGGACTCGCACGCCACCCTGACACACACACCGATAACCTATCAATTCACCAACACCGAACGACCCGACGAAGTATAACGGCCGATAATGCCCCACGGTGCTAAATGGGACATTATTCCCATCTATTTTTGCTTGTGATTTCAGCAACACGTCTGTTGCGAAAGGGAAGAGAGGGGAGAGGGATGATGCAATTGTCACTATTATTCCATTAGGATTGACATTCGAATCTCGCGCCTAATGGACACGCGAAAGAGGATGGACGTGGATGCTTTGAGAAGATGACCTGCGAATTAGGCGAACATGATGATTGAACCGTGGATTTCGATGCGTTTATAGGAGAGAGTTCGTATCGCAATATTTGCAGAGTAAAATACATTCGTGAAAGATTCACCTGTAATTAACGAGTGGAAAAATGACGAGATTTTGCCAACGTTTATTGGGTCGAATGAAATCGCCCTCGTTCCGCGATTCCCTGTCTCCGAACGACCATTAAAGAGTGGCATGGATGGATCAAGCCGCGTCCCAGGATGGGGTTAACAACCAATATCAGGCGCTGGGATGAAAAGGGCTGGGAGTTAACTGCTAAACCAGCGAAAAGATAGGGTAAGACGGCACGGGGGAATGTTTTATGGCAATGGTCCAAATGATGTTTGCGGCACGGGAGAGAATACTAAGAATTGTTAATGAACCCTTGGGCTGGGTGTATCGGGAAAAAGTAATTTGGAGTTTGCGTAATTCCTTCTCTCCCTTTTCTCTCCCTCTGCAAGCCATGGGAAGCAACGTTCAAGTTTAACCTCTCGAGGAATAATTATACATATGTTTATGTTTTGTCTTTGCTTAAAAATTACCATTAGCATCCTAGGAAAATTAAAGCCAACCGTTTGGGAGAATTGAAATCTGTGAAGAGTATTTTTGTAAAAATTCATTTCGCAACTGAAGAACGGTGAATCGATTTTATACAGATCTATCGCGCAAACACTGTATCGACGTTCGACATAAATTTCGCATTACCGTTCATAAATTACCCTCGCGGCTCGGAATTCAATTAAATTTTACAGCAAAGACCGTTCCCCCCGGCCGTTTTGATTAATTCCCCGACGGCGAAAAATGATAAATAACACTGGAAATTGTTTATACCGTGCGTATTAATTCCCGCTCGCGAGTTCAATCCGTTTGTTCCGAACGCGAGGATCGCGTCATTGACAATGATATCGCGACACGACGAACCTTAACTCTATGTCCTAATTGACAGTCGCGTGGCGACAAAATCTTCCCTTCTCTTCCTTCTTCTATTCTTGTTCCATCGATTAGACCATACGTTAAATCTAATCGACAAAAGCATCTTGAGAAGTTATGGCAAATAAAACCTACACGGCAACGTGACCTCTTGTCGCGGTTCAGCTACGAGCGATTTTGTCGCGGAGCGACTGTCAGTCAAGACAAGGCGTTAATGCTTTTCCGTGTAACGCGACTCGGCCCGCGACCATTTACCCAGCGAAATTTATTACATTAAACGTAATAAACGACTTGTATACTCCCAAGCATGCCAGCGTGATATTATTATCGTAGCTGAGGGAAACTTTCTATCTATCTGGGTAATCTCATCTTGTGCCCGCCACCTCCTTTATCTCTTCGTCTTTCACTCAACTTCTTAAGTAGTCTTTTGTAACTTAAATTAAAATAGACGTCAGGAAGTATTCCTCGGACGACATGCTGCCCGCGAACCCGATAGAGGAAAGAAATGTAGTCGCTGTAGGGATACTGGGTGGTCGGTTAAGAATTGATGGAAATTGCATTTATACACGGAAGGAAGGAGCTATCCTATTTTCTTTTGTGCTTAGAATCACTCGACGTTGCAAAACAAACACCAGTAATCTACTCGCGAAGCTAAACATGTAATGAGATTACGATTCTATTTGCTTCGCAATTCCAACGTAATTTACTTTATAAT